GGTCAATCACCATCTCTTTTGTCTTGCTGGTGTTCAGGACCAGATGATTTTTCTCACACCACTCCACAAAGTCAGTAACAACCGCCCTGTATTCCCACTCGTCCCCCCTAGATACACATCCAACAATGGCAGTGTTGTCTGAGAACTTTTGTAGATGACACTGGTGGGAGTTGTACTTGAAGGAGGAAAGCACTGTCTTCCGGGGTGCCCCCATGCTGCAGACTACCACGTCTGACCCACAGTCTCGCAGCCTTATGAACTGAGGTCTGTTTGTGAGGTAGTTAATGATCCATGCAGACAGGTGTTGGTCCACACCTGCCCCCTCCAACTTCCCCCTCAGCAGTGACGGCTGGATTGTGTTGAAAGCACTGGAGAAGTCAAAGAACATGACCCTCACAATACTTTCGAGGGACTCCATAATGAAAAAGGGGTGTTTGCAGTGCAGGTTTCAAGCCACAAGTTGAACTGGGTGGTAAGCAAACTGAATAAGTTCACTACAAGTAGCCGTCCGTCTAAGCTGAGCCAGCACAAACAAACTTGGCATTTGGTTTCTTGTTGGGTTGAATGTGCTGAAGCTGCTGTGCAGCATTTTGCTTCAGGTTGTTAAAAGCTCAGCTGACTCAAACATACAGTTTATGGCTGAATTCTTTTCCTACCTTTGGACTGTATGCTATGTTGTCATACTACCAAAGCAACCTTTGCTGAGCCTTATCTAGCTGAAACAGTCATACCTTCCTGGGACTAGATCATAGACAGTATAGATGAAGCTAAGTGACATCACCCATTGGTTTGATTTGGAGCTGGTGTGAAGCCCAAAGTTGTGTCTTACGGTCGGTGTCATGCTTTCCTGGTGGAGCCAGGGCCTTCCAGATTAGAAGTTTGGGTGGTTGCCTTTGCCCCACTACCTCATACTGAATGCTAGCTTACTGAAAACACTGGCCACACTTCCCTCCTGCTACTTACTAAACTATGAAATGTTGCACACTGCCAAGTGACTGCAACTGCTTGCTAAATGTTACAGCAAAAAGCTGTGTTTGATAACAGTTGCATAAACTTTGCCTAATGTATCAAAACACTAAAAATGTGCCTGTGCACCAGAGACAGAATAGTCTATCTGGTTAGCAGGCTGGCTAGTGGACTGAATAATGCAAAATATATAGTGACTTACTGTAATTCTAAGTTATGCTAACAGGCCAGGAATTGTATCAGGTGTTGTTAATCCTAATGAGACACTGTGTGACAACATTCCTTGAGGGTCTTATTATTGTAACTCTTAACCACAGTGACCGTAAAACTGTCTGCCTGAAAAAGTGAATTCAGAATGTTTCACTCAGTGTGAGTTTGGAAGCTGCAGAGAGCAGCAGGCAGTCAATCACACCTTTCAAATAACACCCACGCTGCAGACATGAAAGCCTTCTATTAGCCTTAAAATCTTATTAGTGAGCACTAGTTTCCAAAATGACCACCAGTACAATAGTTAGAGGGCCTGAATTTAGTGATTGAGACCATAATATCTCTTGGGAAAAAATGATTTACTTAGTATTTCTAGAGAGAAATTAATGCTTTTTAAATGGGAGTCAGCTCTGTGTCCTTCTACAGCCACCAAAACTTTCCTCTACTTAGGATAGCTATTGGCCCAGACTGACTGAGAAATACCAAGGGCTGAAAGAAGAGTTAGAAAAGATGTGGAAGGTGAAGGCACAAGTGGTCCCTGTGGTAATAGCAACATTGGGGGCTGTGACCCCCAAACTGGGAGAGTGGCTCCAACAGATCCCAGGAACAACACCTGAGATCTCTGTCCAGAAGAGTGCAGCCCTAGCAACAGCTAAGATACTGTGCAGAACCCTCAAGCTCCCAGGCCTCTGGTAGAGGACCCGAGCTTGAAGGAAAGAATAAGACTGACCTGAAGTGGAAGGAGTGGGGAATTTATTTATTTTATATATATATATATATACAGTGGTGTGAAAAAGTGTTTGCCCCCTTACTACAGGGGGGGGAAACACTTATTCACACAGGGCTTTGTAGTTTTGGATTTTGTTTTCCCTTAATAATAAAAACCTTCATTTAAAAACTGCATGATGTGTTTACTTGTGTTATCGTTGACTAATATTTAAATTTGTTTGATGATCTGAAACATTACAGTGTGACAAACATGCAAAAAGATAAGAAATCAGTAAGGGGGCAAACACTTTTTCACACCACTGTATATACTGTATAAAATTCCCCACTCGCCCCCCACTTTGGGGTGGTCTTGTATTCCTTCCTTCAAGCTTGGGTCCTCTACCAGAGGCCTGGGAGCTTGAGGGTCCTGCGCAGTATCTTAGCTCTTCAAATTCTTTCAAAAGAACATCACATCCTTACCTACTATGTTTGCTGATATGGAAAAAATTCTGAAATTTGTAATCAAGTTTAAATAAATGAACCATACTGTTGCACTGGGTGGCATACAGTATATACGCCTGAAATTGCGTGACTATGTGTAAACACTGCAGTAATTTCTAGATGGTAAAACCAAAATCTATAATGTGGCCTTCAACTGCACATAATTTTTTTAAATTACATTATTTACATTAAATCTAGATCACACAGGGCAGGGAAGTCAGATTTACTGACAATAAGACAACAACAGCCTTATCTTTTGTTGAACTAAGAGTTTAGGAGAGGCTTAATACAATGAAAACAATTCAGTCAGTGTGATCTTCATCCATGGATGATCACCAGAAGTCTCATCACATGCGTGGAAGGCAAGAGAAAGATAGTGTGCAGCATGTGCCTTTGTATTTCTTACATGATGGTGACTGAAACCTGTTAACACACTCATATTGTGGGAACTCGGCCATCATTTTGGGGACCACAGGCTGGTCCCCACAAGAAAATCACTGAATTTCAGGGTGACAACATTATTTAAGGTTAGGGTCAGGGTTAGGGTTAGGCAAGTAGTGGTTATGGTTAAGGTTAGTCTACAGGAAATGAATGTAAGTCAATGTAAGGTCCTCACAAGGAATGAAAACACAGTATGTGTGTATGAGTGAGTGTGTAATATGGAGCTGTATGATCAACTAAGCATTGTGTTTCCTTAACATGACTACCCATCCAGAGAGGGAAACCAGGCATTTCGGGAGACCATGGCTGCACTGGAGAAACAACCATGTGTCAGGGGCCTGTCCTTTACCTCATTCCTCATTCTTCCTTTCCAGAGGATCACAAGACTCAAGCTGCTTGTACAAGTGAGTGTGCCAACATGACTTAGAACTACATAAACTAGATACTATACATTAAAATGGCAAATTGCAGAAGTTTGGATATGTTTTGAATGTATGTCAAAATTGTACTAATAAATAGCGGTCTGATGTTACTGTAAAGATTTTTTGTTGAAGCTATTATGTTGTTTTTATATGACTTTATTCCTGTATATAGAATATCCTGAAAAAGGCAGAGGAAAACTCAGAGAGGGAAGCAAATGCTATAAAAGCACATCAGCAACTGGAGCAGGTGAGCATTAGTCAGAAGTGTGTCCAGACTGGGCTCAGAAAGGCAGCTGTGAGGATGGTGCCAACATAATGATTTGACCACCATTATGTTGGCAGAATTATTTATGCAGTGTGCTGGCTAATCAGACACAAGCAAGCACACATTCCATATAAGTGTTAAGCACAGTTTAAAACAAATACGATCTACTTCATGCTTTTTAACAAATGAGGACAGTCAGATTATACTTCCACTAAGATAAAATAATACGAAAAATAAGATGCTATTTGCTGCTTGTACAGCATCATCTTTTCACTCTAAATGCAGTATAGTGCTGCTCCCACTTGCTTGTGCAAAATAATAAGTCTAATTGTAATTGCCTAAAGTCACTTGTATAAGTGGAGTCAGCACTTATATTAAAGCAGGTTGTACTGCAGTGTGCAGACTGACACTCATAAGGATGACACTAGAGTGGAACAATGACCGATGAGGGCAAAGATATTTGTACAGGATTTGTTGTGACTGACATTCTTTAGTATTCTTGCTATTTTATTTTTATAGCCATAACATACATTTTATTACAACCTATATTAATAATTTCTGCCACCGTCAGCTGCCTTTTGCACAATATTGTGGCAGATAACTCAGATAACTCTTACCAGTTACATCTATCCTTGTCGGGACGGCTCACACACGGAAGGGTGAGTGAGTCAAGAAAGGGCGGACCCGAATAGCTGACTTCAGTGCAATCAGTAATTTAATGGTGCTCAACAGTCTATATACAGTGCAGTGAAACATAAGATAAACAGGAATATGAAAACTAGATAAACCGGGTGCCGATCAGCAACAGATGTCAGTTCCATGCAGTGATGATGAGGGCCTAGCTGCGTTGCTGGGGTCACCCCTGAGCTGGTCGGTGGAGAATGGAGGTTACTGAGAAGATAGAGAAAACAAGCAGGCGATGAGAAGGTGGAATCGGGTGACTGTGCATTGACCTGGCTGGTGCACACTGGGAGGGTGGAGTAGAGCCCAGGTCCAGAGATGGCTGTCCGTGGAGGAGGAAACAGGGTGGTAGGGACGAGAGGGGAAAAAATATACAAGATTACAATAGATACTTGGTCAAAAAGGGAAAATAACAACGGTGGCCCGAGAACATGAACAAGGTGGTAAGTGAGCCGAGTATAAGTAAAGAGAAAGACTAATGAAGTGCAGCTGGTGTAATCAAGGGATGTGGAGCAGGTGTGGAAGGTGGTGTAATCAGGGACCGAAAAGAAAACAAGGTGAGGGATGTGAGAGAGGCAGGTGCAGCCGGGCAAACCTGACAATCCTAAGCTCCCTTACATGAATTAGAGCAGCCAGTGTTCTCTGGGAACTGAGTTGCAGAAATAAACAGCAAGTGGGATTTGTATATGAATATGATTATCAGGTAGGTTTGTTTTTTTTATACCAGATTTATTATTATCAAAAAATATTATATATTTATATTTGTTTGTAATGTATATCCCATGACAATAAAAATCAAATACAAGATAATAACAAGGTAAAACAATATCACATGGTGCTCCAAGGTTATGGATTGATGGGAGATATTTGTGTCTTCCTCAGATTGTGAAAGAGGGTAACGAGGGTGTGCGAAAAATGAGTCGTACTGAAGAGCTTATCAGCATTGAGAAAACTGGAGTTTAAATCCAAGGTAAACTGAGTTTACTGTCTTTCATTTTCAACTGTTATGAAGTCATGTGGTTCTGTTTTTATGATGGCACAATGTAGATTTTGGGACAGTATGCCAGTTGTATTTTTGATGTGGCATGCAGGTTTTTATTTTGCCTATATCCATTTCATACATAATATGAAGCCTTGCTGATATGGCTGTAAGATCATAATGTGTTAGTAACAATCAAGCAATGCAATGCAATAATGGTTACAATAATGGCACTCAAGCTTAAGGGGATCTGTTCAGACTATAGCTATGCCCCAACTTAGAAACCACCTTTTTCAGGTCTGGATTTCAAGACTGAATGTGTCATAAGTGAATCATTGTGACTCATTCTAAAGATTTGAGAAATTAGCTGGAAAATGTGGCTGTGTTGTGCCTAGTTTTAGACACATGGTTTAGCCTTTGCAACCATCTGTATCTCACCACATTTATTTAAAGGTGTGAAGATGAGAAGTATTACACGATCACATTATATTTGCCTGCCTTTGCATCCAGATGGTCATTAGTCAGTGGTAAATACTTCACATGAACAAGAACAATTAAAGAGTACAGTTAAATGATTCTTCTTAAAAGCAGCTTTGGCATAATGTTTCTCTAGTCTTATACAATACAAAAGTCAAAAGTATGATTACAATATTCTGTTTTTCTGTTCATTATCTTGGTATGTCAGGATAAAATGTTTTCTCTTGCATAATTCATATGAGAAAATGCTTGTTTGTTTAGGTAACACAATATGCCACAGATCCATCATGACACACTAAGACAAAATTAGGGGAATTCAAGATATAATTTGAAAAGTGAATGTTACTACTAAAGCAATTGTAACATTAACAAGCAGTTGTCAGTAATAAAGCAAGCCTGACTTCATGCATATTAAATTACATCTAGAGACATAATATATGGTGACAAGGATAAACAAACAGACAGTTCAAGACGTTTGTCAGGGATAATGTGCACTTAGCAAGTGAAATGAAGCTAGGCTAATGTTAACAGTGTGTAAAGTGTGCTACTCTACTGATGTGCTGCAAGCTGTGAAGAAGCCAGGTGCTTTCTCCAACAAAGAAAAAGAACAGGTAGGCATAGAGTATCAAAACTGAACACAAAGTTCTCAGGATACAATGGCATCCTGTACATAAAACAGCTGATAGAACAGATGCACTATACATGCTGTCAAGACAACAAACAAGTGTTTAAAGATGCGCTAGGGATCACAGTAAGGCTACTAGCCAGTGTTGGCACACCCTGCTTCTTCCAGGTGAGGTTGATACCTTTTTTTTTTATTTGATTTGATTTATTCTTTCAAACATGTAACAACAGTCAATATGTCAACACACATAATTCCACACATATCCACAAATATATTTTCAATTTGCTTATACCTAGTACATGCTTGAACGGAGTAGGAAGAAGTTAGGCTTATCTAGTCCTACCCCCTAACATCATCTTATCATCATTGGTTTGCAAGCAGTATTACTACATGGATAATTTTGTTCTACACCACGCTAGTGATATACTGGTGGTATAAAACACCACACTCCCAATGTTACACCTGATTAATCGTTAAGCTTGTTCTTGCCCATATCTTGATTGACACATACCTTTATATTTGTGTTTAAACTCATCAATTTTCTTACTGTTTTTTATGTCCACACTTAAATTATTCCATAGTTTTACCCCACTTATAGAAATACAGAATCTTTTTTTGGTTGTACGTATAGCATGAATTTTTAAATTTAACTGACCCCTTAGATTGTATCCCCCTTCCCTTTCATCAAATAGTTTTTGAATTCCACCAGGTAATACATTTTTCCTGGCTTTATACATAAACACAGCAGTCTTGTGACCCACTAAATCAAAAAATTTTAACAATTTAGACTGTATGAAAGCTCCATTGGTGTGATCCCTATACCCCATCTTATGCACAATTCTTATCGCTCTTTTTTGTAATATATACAATGGTTGAAGTGAACTTTTGTATGTGTTTCCCCAGTTTTCAACGCCATACTCCAAGTATGGTAAAATCAATGAAGAATACAAAATACGTAGTGCTTTTCTGTCCAAAAT